AAGTTCGGAAAACTGAGCTTACAGCCCGAATCCATTTAATAACCCTGATATAAATGTAGAGTCAAATAAAAAGTAAATATACTCATCGACAACATTTCAGCCGTTAACTGTAAATATGTAAGTCAAATAAATAATTTCATAATCAGAGTTGATCCTTTATCCACAGATATAAACAACAATCAACAGACTATTGACAATTAATAGTATTGTTGAATTTCATTCATAGGCGTCGGAGGCGACATCTCTTGAAAGTGAATTCAATAACACCAAGATACTAATTAAACGCGAACAGCGGGCCCTCGAGAGCTGGCTGTTTCTCCTGTGCCACAATATGAGATAGTTAGGGTTTATACACAATAACAAGATACGACGTCGCGTCTGTCTGTGATACGACACGCTCGTTAGCTCTGGCGTTGTAGACTGCTGCAGAAGTTTCGGGCAGTAAGGAACTTCCCCCATATAGACATTTGCTGTGTGAGTCGCCATAGAATGTATTATACGGGTAAGTAATCGGCAGCATTCCCTATGTACTTGATATTAGAGCATGCCCAACGACGACGTAGGCCACAAATGCTGCATTTTCAGTTTCGTGTCTCGAGACAAGACGTCGAAGGTGTTTGTAATGTCCGATGACAACAATTGAGGTGCTCGCGCTGGTATACAAAGGAATATTATTCATCTTTATATAATCTCCCATAACTTACTACTTGTACTACTCACAAACATTTAGGTAATGCTTTTAGTAAAATATGTGTACTTTTTTTGTTTGGGATTAAAGAATGTTCAACAAATTAAAATAAATTACTTTATAAGCGTGGCTCGCGTAAAGCCACTGTAGAACATAACTTCGTTAGTGGCTCTGTTTAGAGCGGCAATAATTCGTTGTGTTGATTTACGGCAGCGCAGCGCCGGCACGCGCGCCGCCGCCGCGCCGCTGTCCGGCCGGACACCCGCGCCGCGCCGCACCGGCCGCGTGCTCCCCGGGGAGAACACAGGATACCTTCTGTATAAATATTTACTTCACGCTATAAACTTATATATCTCGTCCTTGTTTATCATCATAAGTCTCTTAATCTTTGCCACCACAAGCGTGGATTGATACAGAAAATGTATACGGTAAGCTATTAATTGTATTTCATTTTAAATTTATCAGATTTTGTAGCGTCACTGTTAGCAGTAAATCATGTCAAGTCGACCTCCACGTGGTGCCCTTCGGTAATCATCTTAGTTCATCGCTGACCTGACATCATCCGTACTTATTATCCCTCAGTATTATCATCCATGCTTATTACTCGTCGCCATCATACACCCACCGACAGGCGGCGCTATTAGCCTATGTTCAGAAGTGTATTCATATTTACAGGTTTATATAATCATATAATGTATTGTATATATGGTACTGATCGATGCGATTTGTAGCAGAGTGCACAAGTGCTTGAATGAAATAAGTAATAGCTACGGTAACCATGAGGGCTGGTGAAGTGGTTCAGTCATTATACATACGTGTACATGAGAGAGCGTGCAGGTGACAGGGGAACATTGTCGAGGCGAGTAGGTGTCTATGTATGTACACATACACGAGTACATTGCCTATGTATTGTATATATTACAATATTTATAGCGTAAATGAAGAGTGAGTAAAAATACATTTTCTTGTGGATATTAAAAAGTATATCCGTGTCAGGTCGACGTCGAAAAATAGCTAGCATTCCGCTCTGATTAAAAGCTGACGGGAGCACCTCCCCTCCCCCGCCACCCCGCCACCCTGCTGCCGGCTGCGCCATCAATCACGCCGCGACACTACGGACGGTAGTTATTAGCGACGAATGGTACACCATCTCGGGGCCCCTCCCCCGCGCCCCTCGCGACCCTCGCAGCCGTGCTCGTGGGGCCATCGGGGCCCGCTCGCTTAAGCCTACTTCGCATTTCTTCTTCTGATTTACTGCTAGAGATTCAGTCGAATGGTAAAATTATATTGATGTAAATTTAGGTAGATAATTCTACAAACGCATGTAATTGTATTTTTTTTTAAATCATGAATTTCTTTAATATTTCTTAGTAAAATTCCTCGGAACACAATACATGTGCGTTACATATACACACTACAGTAAGTGCGACGTGGCGGCGTCCATAGTGTACGGGTATACTGCCGGAGCGGACGGTGCATGTGGTCATAATCGCGGAGGCGAGGTCCGGCCGTTGCATCTGTGCGCCCGCGGGCAGGCCGCGTGCGGCAAGTCTAATTGACCTATTGTTAGCAATACACCCTCAGGTCAGGTCGACCTCCACGCGGTTCCTCTCGGAAACCATCGTGGTTAATCGTAGTGGAATTCGTCACAATGAGCTCACTGACATGCTTTCATCCTCACCTATCATCTATCACTGGTGTCCCGTCAGCGTATATCGACAGCGCGGGCGGGGTATCATTCCATTATCACCGCCGCCGCCGCGCTCGCTCGCTCCATTCTAGAGATGGTGAATGTATTCTAAACTAATAATTATCTATTAAATTAAACAATATTTCATGAAAAATAGGATACCTAAAGCCAGTGGTGTCTCTTCATATTTATAATTCATTATTAGACATACACAAGGACAAAAAAAAAAACATGAAACATAATCGAGATATATACAAATATAAAACAAGAAGTAAACTTGTTAACTTTGTAAAAGGCTAGCAAAATACGTAACACAAGGAATTGAACATTGAAGATACGAGTAAAATTAAGACAAGCGGTTACCAAGAACAATATGTACTGAAATCCTATTGATGAAATTTAAAAGACCATTAAAATAATTTCTTGAAAATAATCCAGATTATCATGTTAATAAGTATATAAAGCCAAAGTTATTTGGAAGAAAGATATAAATAATTAATTCAAAGAAGCATGCGACCCATACAGTAGCGCACAAAACAAGAACAAAACAAACAAAAACAAAATAGTATATATATATATATATATATTTTTTTTTTTTTTTTTTTAAAACAACGACAAAAAGTTCTTTTTTTTTTTTTTTTTTTTTTTTTTATTTATAACATATGTCATTCCTTACTAGTATTATAAATGTAAAAGTTTGTTTCTTTGTTACCTTTTAGCGCATTAACGACTTAATCAGTAGCTATAAAATTTAGTAAACATGTACTATATGTGACAAAGAAGAAGAAAAGGAACGCACCGCGCTTTCACTCACACAGACACACATTTGCGTGTGTCCAAACATCATATCTATACTTGGATGATAATGGAATAGTAGCCCCGCCTGCGCTAACGGTATACGCTGGCGGGGCACCAGTGAGGGATGATGGGTGAAAATGAAAAGCCGGCTCACTTGACAGACCGTAATGAATATACCTGGAATTTAGCACGATGGTGTCCAGGGGGGATCAGGTCGACCTGACAGGGTATATTGCTAGCAATGGAACTGGTAATCCGCATTACTAACAATCCCTTGCCCCCTAGCTTCTAGGTTATTATCTATACTTACTTGTTGTTATGTTCAATCTATATAGTACTAGGTACTAGTGGCAGCCATTACACCAATTTTATATGATGTTATGTATGATAACCATACATGTCGCAAACGCAACATGGTCTGAAACGTGTATTTTGTTGGAAATAAGAATGACGGGAGAGTCATAGTGTTATAGAGTTTTCTACAATAAGTGGTGTTGGTGAGACACGTGTACCCGGCGACGTCGCTGCATAATGGGGCAGCGCTGGTGTCTAGCGCACACAACATCGATCGGCATCGGATCATGGATCATAGGTGCGCGGGCGCGGCCGCCTGCGAAGGCTATTGCGTCCGTACAAAAGACATCAACGCGTACACAACTGCCTACCATCACTATAGCGACCAAAGCTAGGCTGACTACCATCTACTTTTTTTTTTTTTTTTCTCTTTTTTTTTGCTGTTACACTGCAATGAGTTCTATGCAGTGCTATTAAATTGTTTTTTTGTCCATTAGTTTATTGAACATATTGGTAAAATTATAGCTGTAAATAAATAAATTTTAAATAAGTAAATTTGGCTGATTCAATTTTTCTGTTGCAAGTAATTAAATTAAAAATTTACCAGTTTCTTAAATTTAAATTGGATAATTTTTTTTTTTTGATGGGTGAAAATGGAATGGTAATTCCGCCTGCGGTAACGGTATACGCTGGCGGGGCATCAGTGAAGGGTGATAAGTGAGAATGAAAACAGGCCAATTAGCCTATCATGATGAACTATCAGGAATTAACCATGATAGTTTCCTAAGGGGAACCGCGTGGACGTTGACCTGGTTGAGTATATTGCTAACAATGGGATTCTTACTCCCTATTGCTAACAATCTCTTCCTTAACAAACAAACACTATCTATATACTTAAGATAAGTATATCGTATGTCTATTTGTTGATCCATAACTGAACAACTAGAACAACAGCTGATCTTAGGGATTTATTTATTTATTATAGGATTACCAACATAAGATACAGCTAAACATTTCAATACAATACACTGGTAGACTAGATCTAACTGTTCTTACATTTATAGGCGACCACAGCATGCCTCGCGTTTGATAAACATTAAAATATAATTAAATTATTTAATGTCATTAAATGAATAAAGGTATTAACAATATGAATAATTTTAATTATACATATTGCTTGATTATTTCAATGTATACTGTAAGGCATGCAGTATTATGTTAACGGCATGCACTTCTAAGGACATTCGCAAACAAACGCCTATAGAGGAAACTAGAATATGGAACAGGCGACTGCGGGACGATACGATACGAGACGGCACTGGGCTACTATTTACTGTCATTATTACTCGTATGTATACTATTGAAATGTGCAAGCGGCTCCGCTGGATATTGCTCGGCGTCGGACTAGCTCGCTTGATGCTAATACTAGTACAATGAAATGCAGCATATACGTATGTACGCGCTTGCAGTGGATCGAAACTATATTCTATATTATTGTTATTATTTATTATACGTTTATAATAAACTCACAGTGAAAGAAGGTTGCTGTGTAGTGGAGGCAAGCGGCGTAATCCGGCAGCGCGGCAGTCCATCCTAGCGCCGCCGTCGATGCAGGCGCAGCCGGCCGGCAGCGCGCTGGCGGTGGGCGCAGCGCCGGCACCGGCGCCGGCGTCGCCGTCGTGCGCCGGCGCCGGGCACGCCGCCGCCGCCAGCGCGGCCAGCGCGCTCGCCAGCAGCAGCAGCGCGCGCGGCCCGCTCGCCCGCGCACTCATCCGCGCGCCGGCGCCGCCTCACCTGCCGCGCGTGCTGGCGCCGCTCGCGCCCCCGCACCGCACGCGCACGCACATCCTCAGACGCACCATCCCCGCGCTTCGCGACCGGCGGCACAACACTCACTCTCAACAACAATACCTACCTACCTCAACTTTCAATGTTTCGTACTTTATTAGTATTTCACACAGGATTTTTTTTTATTTTTTTTTTTTATTATTATTATTAAGTGTAATTTAATGCAATCTTATACACCAGTTATAAAAAAAAATTAAAAGTTGTTTCAGGTAAGTTTGAATTAAAATTAAATATATCGCGTCGCGTGTGTGGTTACGAGCGGCGAGGGCTCGCGTCGCGCGGTGCGTTCCCGTCGCGGTCAGTGATGACGCGTTACGTAGCGTCGCGACAACGGCGCGAGTCCGACTGACGAAGCGATAGAGCGAGCGCGCAGCGGCGGCGTCGGGCGTCGGGCGTCGGGCGGCGGGTGGCGAGCGGCGGGCGGCGAGGGGACAGCCTCCGACCGCCAAGCTTCAGCTTCAGATGCGATCTCTCACCACTGCTTGCATGTACCAGTACGAGAACCTACCAACTGCGAAACTCGAAAGTGTGTGCGGTAACGTCGCGTCGGCCGCCGTGTCGCTGTGGATGGAGCCGGTGCCGCCGAGTCTGCCCGCGGCATATCGCGGCTATTACTATACCTTATAACGACCGCGGCGTTACGTATTGTTAACAGTTTGCTCAAATTTATAAATTTGGCCCTTAAAATGGGACCATAGAGGAAAAGGTTTTCCGGATTGATTTTATTGTCTATAGAACATATCGCTCTAACAAATGAACAATATTACATAGAATGAGTAATATTCTTAATTTTTTTTTTTTTTTTTTTTAATAATGCCCTCAACGAACAAGACCTTTGTCTTTATATCACCAGGCTCAGTGTTTCTTGCACTAACACTGGTTAGGAGGGAATGTACATTGGAATATTTGGTATTCAAAATTAATAAAGTATATGTTATTTATTTGTACACTGTTATACTACACTTACATTACACTTCACTACACTACACCATTATAAACAAAATAATGAATAGAGTAAATTTCAATAAGAAGTCATACATAAAGCAGTTTTATCGCTAAGCAATTTCTTTCAGAAAACCTTTGGGAGAGGACATTGAGAAAAAAGTAGGATTCGCGCGACTTCGTAAGTTGCTACTGTTGTCCATCCGTTCCATGTTTTTCGTTATTAATATGGGTCAGTCTACCGGGTAGCTGGATTTCGGAATGCGTGTATATGTGTGTATGTTTGCGTGAATTGCATTTTTAAAAAGTACTACGTCATGAGAGGTATAAGTTAAAAAAAAAAAAAATTGATGGCTGGCTCTTTAAGGAAGTTGACTCAATGTGCTGCAGAGTTTATGGTATCATGGAAGGGCGTATGCACCCCTGATTTGTGTGCTGCTTATTTTGAGAGTAAGTCTCTTGTTTCATTCCATGTATCTTTATGAGCACACCTCAATGTTGTAAGCAGACCTCATTGTTGTGTAAATGTTATGTGGACGAGTATTTTATTTGATAAAAGTTTTTTTTTTTTTTTTTTTTTTTTTTTTTTTTTTTTTTTTGGTATGATCTTTGAAATAAATAATAAATTTCTGAAGGCATTAAGGAAATAGACAATTTAAATGTATTTAAGAAAACAGCAAAAGCATATTTGACAGCCAAATTGTATGGGCGAAAAACTAGAAGTCCAAGGGTCGGCAGAGAGGGCGGTTAACAATAACTTTCCTAGACCGGTATGCCGTTCGCAACAACTTAAATTAATCGTACCTCTTTGATATGCTGGTTCACCTGCCTCCTGGGTTTGCTATCTTTCTCCACGGCGCAGCTAAGGATCCTCACGGGCTTCGGAGCACGCACAAATGTTGTATTTGAATAGGGTGGCGTGATGATACCCGAGTATTCACATGTCCATGACATACATATGAGTTTTTCCATTAATAGAAACTTAGTCTTATTATGAAATATAACAAGTTGCACACAAAACCACGTCGTAGCAAATTATGAATTTCACTTATATGTCCTTTATTATAAAATAAATACACAAAACAGAGTGTAACAACCCTTCATCACTTTTCGCGCCAACGCCATATTACTTTTTTTTTTTTTTTTTTTTTTTCTACTGGACCTCAGGACTGGACTGGACCTGGATTTTAAGCAGCCAAAATTGCTTAATTAGCAACTTAGCATATAAAATAACTGGAGCTGCGACACGAAGAACATCCCATATTCTAGCTACAGCGAACAAAATACTACGCTTGGAACACATATCATTACCGCAAGCGATGTCACCACTTTATGAGATCGAAGCCCCAGCTTTAAACATTCCTATTAATTGAGATGCAGCGTTACTAGCTTCAGCAACAGTGGGCCAACTCTGAACCACATCATCCATATATGTGTACCACTTCAGCCGCTACTGGAAATACCTCACGCTCATCTTTCCCGAGCTGTTGAATCGTACGTAATGCCAAATATGGACTCGCAGCTAATCCAAAACAAACTCGTTGAAATTCAAATAGAGTGAACGGATGAAAACGGAAAAACATTCGCAAGAATTTATGATAATAGGGATAAACCTGTATCTGTAAATCCATTTGTTTGACGTCTGCGCAACAAGCAATTGGAAACCAGCGTAAATCTAAGAGCAGACAATATATATCTAACTGCAAATTTGGGCCGGTGTGACTAAGCTGATTCAACGACACGCCATTGTCGGTACATGCGTTAGCATCCAAAACCAGTTGCAGCTTAGTAGTTACTTTATCCTGACGAACGACGCTATGATGTGGTATAACAAACCCGCTAGAGTTAATCTCCTCGGCGACAACAATATAATTGTGGTCTATATACATGCCGATGTGGTAGAATGTGGAATAATGGACATATAATTATTAATTTCATTTAACATACATACCCATATTCGTGCAATAAATTGATTTGTGAGCAGACCTCACTATGTTGTGAGCCAAGCCAAACGATTGGTCAAGCCAGGCCAACGCAACGCAATGCGACGTCACGCAAGGCAAGGCAAGGTAATGCAAGGCAAGGCAAGGCAAGGCAAGGCAAGGCAAGGCAAGGCAAGGCAAGGCAAGGCAAGGCAAGGCAAGGCAAGGCAGGGCAGGCAAGGCAGGGCAGGGCAGGCAGGGCAAGGCAAGGCAGGCAGGGCAAGGCAGGGCAAGGCAGGGCGAGGCAGGGCAAGGTTGGGCAAGGCAAGGCAAGGCAAGGCAAGGCAGGGTAAGGAAGGGCAAGGCAGGGCAAGGCAGGGCAAGGCAGGGCATATACACTCAGGGCAAGGCAGGGCAAGGCAGGGCAAAGCAGGGCAAGGCAGGACAAGGCAGGGCAAGGCAGGGCAAGGCAGGGCAAGGCAGGGCAAGGCAGGGCAAGGCAGGGCAAGGCAGGGCAAGGCAGGGCAAGGCAGGGCAAGGCAGGGCAAGGCAGGGCAAGGCAGGGCAAGGCAGGGCAAGGCAGGGCAAGGCAGGGCAAGGCAGGGCAGGGCAAGGCAGGGCAAGGCAGGGCAAGGCAGGGCAAGGCAGGGCAAGGCAGGGCAAGGCAGGGCAAGGCAGGGCAAGGCAGGGCAAGGCAGGGCAAGGCAGGGCAAGGCAGGGCAAGGCAGGGCAATGCAGGGCAAGGCATGGCAAGGCAGGGCATATACACTCAGGGCAAGGCAGGGCAAGGCAGTGTAAGGCAAGGCAAGGCAAGCCAAGGCAAGGCAAGGCAAGGCAAGGCAAGGCACGGCACGGCACGGCACGGCACGGCAAGGCACGGCACGGGCAGGGCAGGGCTCCTATATTATTTATATTATAATTAATTATTACTGCAGTACTCTAATAATAAGAGAATTAGGACACGATGCAGGACACACACACAAAACGCAATAACAACAATTCATACTAGATGGCGCCTCATGAAATCTACACGTCGATATTACAATAATTTGGTATTTGATTATATTCCTTTACAAACCATCAATGACCTGCGGTTTAGGTTTAGGTTTAGGTTTAGGTTTAGGTTTAGGTTTAGGTTTAGGTTTAGGTTTAGGTTTAGGTTTAGGTTTAGGTTTAGGTTTAGGTTTAGGTTTAGGTTTAGGTTTAGGTTTAGGTTTAGGTTTAGGTTTAGGTTTAGGTTTAGGTTTAGGTTTAGGTTTAGGTTTAGGTTTAGGTTTTTAGGTTTAGGTTTAGGTTTAGGTTTAGGTTTAGGTTTAGGTTTAGGTTTAGGTTTAGGTTTAGGTTTAGGTTTAGGTTTAGGTTTTTAGGTTTAGGTTTAGGTTTAGGTTTAGGTTTAGGTTTAG